AAACAGTCCTCAATATTTCATACTTATTTACACAAATATTATATTCACCAATGCACACCATAAGTAACAACAAAACTAAGTTTCACCACAATTTTGTCCAACAACATCGTTATATCGTGTTCGTGCTTCACTAGTGTGTTTTTCTTTTGTTCAGATTTATTCATCATAAATGTGAAGATAAGTTCAAATTTAACTATATTTTTTTTTTATTTCGTGTTATTGATTTCATGTTTCAGGTTTTATTTCGTGTTATTGATTTCATGTTTCAGGTCGTGTCGTGTCAATCGTGTCATTTAGTTCTATAGCCATGTTATCTCATCGTGCATGTATTCATGTTTCATATCGTTTTTTCAACCTTTTTACCTAAAATTTCATCATTTTTCAGTTACATTTGCTAAAATAAAATATCATAGATCAAACCTTTGAAGCCATGGGCGGATTTACACTATGGCCATGCCCAGGTTGGATTTTTGCTGCTAAACATATGTAGTTAAAATTTTTAAATAAATATTTAAGAAGAAAAGACAAAGTTTGAGAACTTGCAAGGCATAATAGAAACAATTTTAAGTTTTTTTTAATAGTCTATATAAAGCGAAGTTGAACATTATCTCTATGTTATCTTCTATAATTATATTTATTGAAATTATAATCGAGGATTGGACTATCGTTGATCAAAGAGGACAATGTAATTTGTTGATTGTGCACATACCATTAATTTCATATTTTATCTTCTTCTAATGCGATAAATTTTAGATTTAAGGAATGAGTTATCACTAGAATTATAAAGATTGATCAAGATATTGTCAATATCGATACTATGGATTTGGTCAAGGCAATAAGACTGTGCTTGTTTATAAAAAAAACTCAAAAAGACTGTTTTTTTTTTCGTTAACTAGAGTTTATTTGAAAGAAGTTAGTATGATCAGTTTTTAGTGGGAATTTAAGAATGCATTATAAAAATATTTAAAATAAAATGATTAAAATTGATTTGATGTAAAAGTAGGAGATAAATGATTGGTAGTTAAAATTATGTGAGTGGATGGATAGTGAATTAAAATTGATGTAATCTGTAAGAATGAATGAATGATATTATTTAATAATTATATTGATAATATTGAGGATAATAGGGTTCAGTTAAATTTTGAATTGTAATATTGAGGATAATAGGGTTCGGTTAAATTTTGAATTGAGATAGATTTTTTTTTTTCTAGTTTTTTTTAAGAAATTTGATAAACAAGCACGGCCTAAACCACTCCAAAAAATGAGAGAAAAAGAATGTGAATGGAAATTTTTTTTGCAGAAGGTAAATTCGTATATAATAAGCACGACATAAAAAATTTCGAAAACTTTTTTATTTTATATTGCTCTGATTGATAAAAATTTCTGCGTCCGCCACTATTTGATGCACCGTAATTTATTTGATAGCTTATCTAGAGAGATCATTAGAGCATGTTTGTTTATGAAAATTTTCAACATTTTAACTCAACCACTTTTTTTTAACTCAATTTTAACTCAACCCCACCATCATCAATATTATCAATATAGTTAAATAATATCAATAAATCATTCATACACACCACACCAACCTTAATTCACTATTTATCCACTCACATTATTTTAACTAACCATCACTTCAAATCATCTCTCTTCTACTTTTACATCAAATCAATTTTAATTATTTTATTTTAAATATTATTTTAATATACCCACTAACAACTATAATTGAGCATTTTTTTTTTTTCAAAAATTGGAGATTATTTCATATTTTTGTATTTTAAAGCATTTAATAATTCAGTGACTTTTTGTCATCTATATATCTAGTTTACCAACTAATTTTGTTATATTAACTAGTATGTGGCCCGTGCAATGCACGGGTAAATAATATTAAATAATAATTATAAATTGACGATATAGGCATATGTGTATTCGTTTAGAATTTTTGAGTGCCATTTTGAGATTTTTTAAGATTTGAGACTTTTAAGATGATCAAATTTTTAGAGGAATACTATGAAATCTTAAGTGTGAATGTGAGATTTAGAGTGAAATTTTGTATAATGTTTTTTTTTTCTTTTAAATCATAACTAATCTTAAAAAGACCTAACAAATCTTGATCTCAAATAAGTTAAATATTTAAGGATATTTTAAGATTTTTTTAATTTTTATATATCAAAGATGAACCGCTTTTGTTACCAAAAAATGTGGACACAATTGTGAATGTACATCCCGTCCAAATAATAGTTTTATTCTAAAATAAAAATTGCATGTGGTTTTATCCAATTTACACACTTTTTTTTTAAAGAAAAAATTATTCAATAAGATTGGAAGAATTGGTTAAGAATTATACAACTATTTGTTTCCAAAATTTGTATCCAATTTGTACGGTTTTTAAGTTAATTTGTATTTAGTATTATTTTCATAAATAATTGACACATTTTTTGCATAAGAATCTCCAAATTTATTACCAAAAGATATATGATTTAAATTTTGGCAAAAAAGATAAAATATGATACGAAAAAAATGGAATTCAAATTTTGTCATAAGAATCTCCAAATTAGTTACCAAAAAATAGGATTCAGATTTTGTTACTAAAGATTCACATGTATTTTTTTGAACTTTCCATTAATAGTAAGTCAAACATTATATTTATTTGGTCAAACTTTCTATTAATGTATTTTTCCAACAACCTCTTTATATAGATATAGATATAGATTATTATATAATAATTGGTTCCGAACTCATTACTAATAAATGTTAACTAGTACAATACCCGCGTATTACACAGGTGCTTGTTAAAAATTATTCTTAAATTTTAAAATTAATGAGAAAAATTATTTTAAAATTTATTTACTTTTTTTACAAAAAAAATATATATTATTATATATTTTAGAATGACACTTGTTACTTGTGCGACTTACATGTGTTATATTATAGTAATTTTTGTAACTTATATAATATAACTACTTAAAATAAAAATATATTAATTAATAAATAATTTTATTTTTCTAATTAATATTAAAAAATAATTTTATTATTGTTATAAAGATAAATATAATTTATTTTTTTATACATACAATATGGATGTTAACTCGAAGCTCATTAAGAGATGATTAATTTGATATATTATATATGTAAAACTGATGAAAAATACAAAAGTTTATTATCTTTTGAAATACATTTACAATTCAATGGTTATAATAAGAAATGATATTAAAATGTAATTAAAACATATAACATGACCATAAATAATCAACATATTTATGGATAATCCGGACCTAATTATTTTTGGATTGGAAGTAAATTAAAATCTACTCAAGCCTAGTAACGAAACATGTAATTTTGCCACATAGGATCCCCAAGCATGCGAACCTGCCACTTAATCTCAGCACGTTCTGAATAGGGAGATTGGTATATATATACACTAATACTATATACTAATTACTATAATTTAAATTAAATTCCATTATTTGGAAAACGTCCGTCAATTTATCTGATGGATTTAATATACTAGACCTAGTGTATGCTTATTCCACTACTCATCTTGTACATAAAGCGAAGATACTTTTATAGATGATCAATTTCATTTACTTTCGCATTCCATATTCTGTTCTATTAATTGAACACCCCAAAATAATAATAATAATAAAAAAAAAAAAACAAAATCATTCATTCAATAATCAATCTACAAATTTTAGAAGTTACGTACCAATTTTGTAGTTCTAACCCAAAAATATGCATTGTTCTTAAAATTGTGCCCAACGTGAGATATTTTATACCTTTATAACAATGACACAAATGGGTTTTCTATTGGGTTAATTAGAAAACTCTCCATACAATACTATTCTGGGCAAAACACCGGTCTATTATAATCTGTACAATGACTAGACAAACCCATAATGTGATTGATGTTCATCAACTACAAATGAAGACATTCATGACTTTTTTGTTAACAGCCAAATATATATTTTCTTTCGTTAGTATTGTTATGAAACGGCCTAATCGTTAGACGGATTGATTCGTTATACTTTATAACTTAAAAATAAAAATTGGTTCTTTCTGAATTTTGATATTTTCTAATGTAGGTATGCATATTTATTAAACATGCATGTCCATATAATAAAAAATATTTTTATACATATAATTTACTACTTAAAATATGGTATATATATATATATATATAATGGCCATTTTGTTATAATATACTCATTATTTCACAATCAATCTCATACCAAACAAACACAAATTATATTCTATGTAATGGCCATTTTGTTAAATATATTCATTATGTCACAATCACACAAAATAACGCACGAATTAGCCCAACCATGATAGACAGCACAAATTCAATTAAGACACGTAATAATTCAAATTTATACATAAATTTCACACAAACCAGACACAAAATTATGACATCAAAGACATGCTTACGCAAACCATTACGCATCTGCAGCAGTAGATAATTGAACCGGCCGGCCGGCCGCCCGTCGCTGTCAAGGCCCAACACCTTTACCGGAAAAGTGCCCGCCTGGTCGGCTGACGCACGCCACAGTCCAAGCCCGGTCAACCACTCGCCTGCTGACGTGGACCTGCGGGCCCCACCTGCCCCCCGTCACATAGACCAAAACGATCTGTCCGGGCCCCACTCTGTCCCCCATCCGGGCTGCACTAGTCAATTGACGAAACTGCCCCTTCTATTGACTTTCCACTGTATTTCGGGGCCCACCTTGACGTGGCGTCCTCTGTTCTCCCCTTCCTATAAATACCACTCTCCTCTGTCCCCAATTCCTCACCATCATCTTTAGCGAAAGAAAAAGAACAAAAAAAATAAAATAAAATCACCGATATTCCAAAAAGCCCAGAAAAAAAAAATCCCTCTCTCTAAACCGAAATTTCTCTTTTAATAATCCGTTAATGGCCGTGGACTCGATCCTGTCGTCCCCATTGGGCCCACCGGCATGTGAGAAGGATGCCAAGGCCCTCGAGTTCATCGAGGAGATGACCCGAAACGCAGACTCTGTCCAGGAGAACGTCCTGGCCCAAATCCTGGCCCGAAATGCCGAGACCGAATATCTCAAGGGCTTCAATCTGAACGGGGCCACTGACCGCGATACTTTCAAATCCAAAATCCCCATAGTCTCCTACGAGGATCTCCAGCCCCTGATTCAAAGGATCGCCAATGGCGACCGGTCCCCGATTTTATCGGCCCACCCTGTTTCCGAATTTCTCACCAGGTTAGTTAGTTCAAGCAAATTTTTTTTTTCGCTAGTTTCGATTTCTTTAACATACGAGTCAGGAAAATTAACATATTTTTTTTTTCCGAACAGCTCCGGGACCTCCGCCGGTGAGAGAAAGCTCATGCCGACTATTAAAGAAGAATTGGACCGCCGCCAGCTGCTGTACAGCCTTCTCATGCCTGTCATGAACTTGTGAGCATCATTTCTTTTCCAATTATGTCATTTATTAATTTAATTTTTCCATTTTTGTCGATTTTGAACGAATTTCCTTTCTGAAAAAACAGATATGTGAAGGGCTTAGACAAGGGCAAGGGCCTCTACTTCCTCTTCATCAAATCCGAGACCCAAACACCCAGCGGGCTCCCGGCCCGACCCGTCCTGACGAGCTACTACAAAAGCGACCACTTCCGGACCCGCCCCCACGACCCGTTTAACGTGTACACCAGCCCAAACGAGGCCATCCTCTGCCCCGACTCATTCCAGAGCATGTACACCCAGATGCTCTGCGGGCTTTACGAACGCGAGCAAGTCCTCCGGGTCGGGGCCGTCTTCGCCTCGGGCCTCCTCCGGGCCATCCGCTTCCTCCAGCTCAACTGGGCCCGTCTGGCCGACGACATCCGATCCGGATCCCTCCACCCGGACATCACCGACCCGACAATCCGGGCCCACATGGCCCGTTTCATGAAGCCCGACCCGAACCTCGCAGACTTCATCTCCCGCGAATGCTCCCTCGAGAATTGGGAGCGGATCATCCCCCGAATCTGGCCCAACACCAAGTACCTCGACGTGATCGTGACCGGGGCCATGGCCCAATACATCCCGACCCTCGACTACTACAGCGGCGGCCTCCCCAAGGCTTGCACGATGTACGCGTCCTCCGAGTGCTACTTCGGCCTCAACCTCAACCCGATGTGCAAGCCCTCCGAGGTCTCGTACACCATCATGCCCAACATGGCCTACTTCGAGTTCATCCCACACGGAGAAAGCGGGCCGGCCCGGCCCGTTGACCTGGCCTGCGTCGAGGTCGGCAAGGAGTACGAGCTCGTGATCACGACCTACGCGGGCCTTTACCGGTACCGAGTCGGAGACATCCTCCGAGTCACGGGCTTCCACAACTCGGCTCCCCAGTTCCGGTTCGTCCGGCGCAAGAACGTCCTACTCAGCATCGACTCCGACAAGACTGACGAGGCCGAGCTGCAAAGCGCAGTCGAGAGCGCCTCGAAGCTCCTCCGAGCGTTCGACGCGTCCGTGGCAGAGTACACGAGCTACGCCGACACGAGCACGATCCCGGGACACTACGTCGTGTACTGGGAGCTGCTGGCGAAGGACCCGGTCAACTCGCCTAGTCGGGAGGTACTCGACCGGTGCTGCCTCGCCATGGAGGAGTCGCTCAACTCGGTGTACCGGCAGTGCCGGGTCGCGGATAGCTCGATCGGCCCGCTAGAGATTCGGGTCGTGAGGAGTGGGACTTTCGAGGAGCTCATGGACTACGCGATCTCGCGCGGGGCCTCGATTAATCAGTACAAGGCTCCGAGGTGCGTCAGCTACACGCCTTTCAAGGAGCTTCTCGACTCGCGGGTCGTGTCAGCACATTTCAGCCCGTCGTTGCCGCATTGGACGCCGGAAAGGCGCCGGTGAAGGGGGAATGGAAAATGAAAGTTAAATAAGTTGAATAAGTGAAATTGTCAAGAGTAATTAATTACCAAAGTAATGGGAGTCAAAATTGGGGAGGTCATGGGTAGTTTGTTTACTTGGTTTTTCTATTGTCATTATTCTCTTTCTTTGTTATTGAGTTTTTGTGTGTTTGTGTGATGGTTTTTGTATTGGATTAGTAGTATTGTAGAGTAGGAAGGAGCGTGCGGGCGAGAAGTTAGGTGATGTGTTTGTGGTTGGGCTGTGAAAGGGATTGTGAGATGATGACTTGGGCTTTGTTGAATGGGTTTGAATTTGGATTAGGTTTGTGTTGTTGGAGTAAATGATTACAAGTTATGTCAAATTAATGAATGTCTTTTTCGGAAACACTGAAAAAATGAGTTCTTTTTGAGCTGTATGCGGCAACAAGATGAAAATGCTCAAAGGTATATCTGCCACCATCGTCTTGCAAAATAAATTCAAAGCAAAGATGTTTAAGAAGTTACAAGATGAAATGCTTAAAGGTATATCTACCACCATCTTCTTGCAAATTGAATTCAAAGCAAAGATGTTCGAGAACTTGCAATAATCTTTCTAAATTTAACTTTTTAGGAAAAAAGTTCGCAACTGTTAGGAGATAATTGTAAATTGTTGTAGAAAAACAGAAAATGCCAGGTATATATATGGAATAAATAATACTGAGTATTTTATTAGTGTAACATAGAACATTGTAAGGATATATTTGATAGATTACAATATCTAACGTTTGCAAATTAGAGTCTGACCCAACCATCTAACATTTACGCTTAAAATATCAATAACTTTATAAAATTTCTCATAACTATATAAAAAGTCTGAACTCAATCTTTTATTATTTATTGAAAATTAAAAATGCAAGAATACAATCATTTTACTTTTTACAAAAAAAATGTAAAAGTTGAAATTAAAATATTTTAAAATTGTTTTATTTTAAATATTTTTGAATTATTTTGTATTTAAGTTTTGTATTTAGAGAGAAAAAAAAGAGACAGTGAATTATGGGAAAATGAATTATGTATATTTAGACTAAAATTGTGTGAGGATCCATTGTGGTCTCAATTTTGGTCTGTACCTAGGTTTGGATTTGAGCAGTATTGAGCAGTCAAATTAATTAAATATTTGAAGAATAGAGTTGATTTGAAGGATTTGAGCAGTATTGAGAAGTGAAATTAATTAAATATTTGAAGAGGAGAGTGCAGTGAAATTAATTAAATATTTGAAGAATAGAGTTGATTTGAAGGATTTGAGCAGTATTGAGCAGTGAAATTAATTAAATATTTGAAGAGGAGAGTTGGTTTGATGGTACATTACAAGAACCCAAGTCTATTTTTATTTTTAATTGCTTTATGATGTAAAGTGGTTCATAAATGGTTATACATCAACAATTATCGAGCTTTCTCAACGTTATCAACACACATAAAATTTATATAAAAAATATTTAATATAAATCTAGGCATTACAGATTCCAACTCAAAGTCCTGCCGAGAAAATTACCAGGATTCCCTTAATCATTACAGTTGGTATTCAGAGTTGGTTCAGTCATTGGCCATGGCATATGATACCAGGTTGAGAGAGCTGTAGAAGACACAAAGAAAATCGATAATATCTTGCAAACAGAAAACGGAAAGCCACTGAAATCAATATCCAAGAGCATATGGAAGAAATTAGCTCAAACATGAAAGTGCAAATTGAAAGCATAAGGGAGAAATGAAAGAGCAATTATCTTGAGTTGATAGCAAGTTTAACACCGTAGCTGCTATTCAACTTCAACTTTTAAACCCAAATAAAGATAATTACTTTCTAGATTAGTTTTGTTCTTGTGTTGAAGTTGGAGGTGTTCTCCAAAGATGTTTCGATATTCGATTTGGCTTGTAATTATTTCTCGACTTGGATTATTTGTAAGTTTTCCTTCTTGTAATGATAATTTGCAATAAATCTTATGTTGAGTTTATTTTTGATATGAATAGCTAAATCATTTGCTAGGGATAGGGATGAATATTTGATTTCGTATGTGATTATCGTACTCGTCGATTGTTCACTTTGTATGAGTTAATTCTAAATTCGGTTTTGATTTTCACTTTGGAATGACATATTGTTGAAAAGTGACAATTCAACCTTGCAATTGATTTCTAAATATTGAAAAGTGACGCTTCAATGTTAAACTTGTTTTCAAATTGAATATGATGTGTTCTTTTGTGACGATCACGATCCGAATAGACTAGACGACTAACCATCCTATAGTCTATTTTAATCGACTCTTGAACCGAAAGGGGAAAGGTCAATCGATCGAAACTCATACAAAATAGACATAATCCAAAATGTATTGTCTATGTGTTAAACAACTCATTAATTTACCGTTTATATTTATTCTCATAATCCGAAAGGTATTGAGGATGAATCTTTAAACGTGTAGATGACTCGAATTCTTTAACCGAACAATCACAAGCCGATGATTGCATTTCGATTCAAAACATTTATTCCCGATTCTCTAGCATCTCTACCTTTGTGTCGTTTATATTTTTAGATAGATTATCGTTTTATGTTATTATTTTAGTTAATCATTATCCAACCCTATCATGATTAGAATGTGTAGGATTTATTTTGCTTTTATGTGTTATCAACACCAATTCTAAATTCTGAACAGTCTTCCTCGAGAGATCGACCCGAGAAACGAATCATTCGATTCGGTGCTCGGTAAAATAAAAATAATTTGCTACAACACTAGCCTTGGGCCGAGCCGGTGGTGTCAGTCTTGCCTTCACTCGTCAGATCTGGGTTCGACTGGACCCCCAATTGGTGAAGGCGTCAGCTCCTCCAGCGAGGCTTGTCGGATCTACTCCCAAGGCGTTCGTGCACCTCTCAATTGAAGACTGCGGGAGCTCATATCTGGGCTGAGACTTTCTCCTCGCCAGATCTGACTAGTCACTTGAGTAAGTTGGAGTTTTTAATTCTGGGGTTCTGACCTGCTGTTTTCTTTTATTGTTGATTGTGGAGTTTGGCTCGTTGCGGGTTTTGACTCGTGCGCTGGTCAGTGTGGTTGTTGCAGTGTGGCCGCGAGATATATTCTATTGCTAGTTTAGGTGTGTGTTGTTAGTTTATGTATGTGTTGTGTTGTTTTGTTGTGTGTTATTCTTATTAGTTGGAGTGTGTTATTCTCCAATGTTGGAGTTTTTATTCTCCAATGGTGGGAGTTTTATTTTTACGTCTTAGTTTAGTATATTTGGGTTCGCGGCTCTAAGATGCCTGGGAGCAGTTGTACTATGTCGGTGTAGTCTTCCGCTAGTTTTGGTTTAGTAGCTGATTCAGCTTTTTGGTTGTACTAGTCTGTAAATATTTGTGTTTATTAATT